ATCCAAAAGAGCTCCACCCTCCACGGCATCAACTCGCTTCTGAAAGACACATCTGTTGCAGGCCCTGGAAACACTGGCTGCCCCATGATAGGAAAGATAACTTTTTGTGCAGAAAAATCATTAAAACCAAACCAAAAAATCCTGAGGCTCTGTCGGTTTTCATTGACTGTCTTCTGCCATTTCTCACTGGTTCTCGCTTATTTAGACTATAAGCTTCTCAGAGGAGCACTTTTTTCCATTTTCTTTTTAGAAATTAATATTGTTCCTGTTGCTGTTTGAACGATAAGCTGTATTAGGGAAGGCCTTTATTACTATTACCTTGTGTACTTTTTTAACAAATGTTTCTGATATTGCTAACAACATGTGCTTTGCAAAAGTGCCATCCTTAAGTTTTGGTAATTCTTGGGTTGATATTTAATAATCAGAACAATCAGGGCCTTCACCTCTTCCCCCCCCCTCCCCCAGACCCCCAGTGAATAGATGGATTAAAAACAGTGTCAGATAAGTTGATTCTGAAATTCCTGTGTTCAAGTTGCATGGTAATTCCTCTGGACTATATGGAAATATTGCTTTCATTGTTTGAGAAAATATAAACAAAGAGTAATCGCTGATGCCTACTGTTAATTTTCCTGCGTGTTTTCAGTAAGTGATAAGTATTTAAAATCTCCTTAGATTTGACGAGACATCCATATAACTGAATATATATATATAGATAGATATTCTTCAGAATAGCTACTCTGTGGAGAATTTGTTGAGATTTAACAACTTTTTTAGCCTTAAAAAAATATATTTCTAGTGATGTAAATTCTTTCTGTTGATACTCTTAGCCTGTTTTGAGTGGCATGTTCCAGCCTGAACTAAACCCATCACTGGCTGATGGTAACCAAATCAGAAAAGGTCACTTGTACTTAAAGGGTTTTTGTAAGCTGGCTTGTCTTCTTTTAACTGTGTTGAAATTTATTTCATATGCTAATAGATTCAATGATTATAGTTAAACATAATAGGGTCCCTGACTGTTAAAGAACTGGGTTATGCATGGGGTTTTGTTTTCTTTTTATTAACTGACCTTCAAAACCCTGATCAACTTGACAGGTGATTATATAAAACCAGGAAAGTGTGATCATTGCTCTTTGGATGGACTTGGTAGACTCTGGGGTTAGAGTCAGGCTGTTATGAGAACTTCTCCTCCAAGCTGACTGATAGTTTCGTGTACATGTTTATGGGGGGAGAGCTATACATTTCTCACCTTTCAGAAATTCATCTGCAATATCAGAGCAGTTTTATTTTCAGAGGAGCTCCCAGGTGTCTAATTGCTGGCATGTTGGCACTGACAATGGCCACTCAAAAGCCAAAGCGTGTGGTTTAAGCCAAAGCAGAGGTTTAAGTTGTAGCTTGGAACTTTTATGGCTCAAGTCCCTCCTAGGTCAGGTGTTTCTTCTTAGAGGAGGTGAGGAAGAACGTTATGTGCAATGGGGTTACAAAATCTTAGTATTACAGAGTACAGATCTTTCTGCAACAAGTCTTATGGTTGCAAAATCAAAAATTGCTCTGCCTAAGACCTATTTTAAGGTCTGTTTGTCTGCTCACATTATGTCAAAATAAACTGTATCATTTTTACTCCTGTTGTAAGATTAATGCAACTCTGGGAATACTTTCTAACTTCTGTTGATGATCCACAGTAATTAATTAAAGCTTTGACTGCCAGACACTCAACAAAAATAATGCCAAAAATGTTGCTTTTTTAGTATTCCAGGTTTAACTCGCAAGGCATGGAGTTAGGCTAATTAAATTAAGTCTGGTAGGTAGTGAGAAACAAAGTACAGTTTCTTTATCGTTAGTTTCTGAATAGAATGGTAAGAAGTAAATTTTTTTTTGAACAGAGAAGTTTTTGTCGAGAAGCAGAATTTGTCAGCTGTTAACCTTTGAAACTGTCACACCCCCCCCTTGTCCTTCAAACCATTTCAATTCTGCAGAAGTTCCGTTAAGGAATATGCTGCTGGTTTCTGTTCCTCTCTCCTGAAATTGTTTTTGTGGGGGACGCTTTCTGGATTTGAGTGCCATCTTGTGGTGTGTTGTAAGCATCTAAGAAAAGGTAATAACCCCCCTTTCATTATTAACCAGTAAGGATTTGATTAGTGTAGAGATGTACCAAGTTGTATTTACCACAGAAAAACGTTCATTGTATAATGATCTGCATTTTTTCCATTGTGCTTAGTAGAAGAGATTGCTACTTTGTGCCTAAAATTTTCATTTTATTATTTGCTTCAATGTGTGACACATGGAATGAGCCCTGAAAATTTTACAGCTAATATAGACTGTGGTATCCTGCTAGCTGTGGTAATATACTACACCTGTCTTCTCTCAGGAGGTATGTCTGCTAATTAATGGTGATGTATAGTGAATTTTAAAAAATAATAATCTGTTGGCAACATAGAGGTAATCTTAGGTTCTGTTGTTTCGAAACTGCTTTAGTTTCTTTGCTGCAAAATCGGTATCAGTGGAGAAGCTTAAATCTTCTGGTTTAAATGAAAGCAGAAAGTTTTCTATCGTGAATCCAAGCTGTGCAATTTTTCATTTAAATAAAATTGTGTATAAAATGGTGCCCTGTAATTTAGAATATCAAACCATTATTTGCACTGGAAGTACATTTTGCATGAGCTGCGTACATTATTTTACCTTGTGTATATTGGGTGACACAAGATATAGCAGTAACAGTTTCCATTGAATATTTTCTGGCTCTGCAACTTTGAGCCTATTTCTTTACTGTAGGAGGGCTAAAGCCAAAAGGAAGGTTTTGAACATTTTTAGTCATATAGATTGCCCCCCAAAATTATAACAGTATAGCTTATGTGAGTTTGCATGTGTGTACATACATGTACACAAAAGCTCCCAGTGGTTTAAAGGATGAATAAAGGAGGTTGCATCAGTAAATGTAGTTGCAGTTAAAGGTTTGCTACAGCAATGTTCTGGAGTTAGCAAGAGCATAGGTATTTTATTAAGATCTCATTTACGACAAATAAATAAAGTTAGCTAACATACCACATATTTAAAAGAAAAATAAAATATTAGAAGAGCTGGGGGAAGGGGAACCTCTTTTGTGTCTGCTACTGGAAGTTGCAAGATTGCAAGCAAGCTGACGCAACTTCGTGGACCATTAGTATCAAAGGTTGCTAATACAGCTAAACTCATGTGGACATCTGATCTTTGTTGCTGGTTGAGTCAAAAGTCAATGAAGCAGATTAATGCCGTCTCTGTGTCTGAGCTTAGGAGGACAGAATGAAATCAAAAGATTTACCTGTGTTTGATACAGTAAATAAATGTCAGTCTGGAAAGAGAAACCTGAGAATGAAGAAAAACAAAAAAAACCAAAACCCAACCAGCCCGGATGGACAACTCATTCTAGTTTGTTATGGAAGAAAACCCCCTTCATCTTGACAATGATCACGCTAAAACCAAATGTATCGCGCAAAATGCTTATGGCCAGATAATGCTCTTCATTATCTTAGTGCTTGTCACTGACAGGCTAAGAGTTGTCATCTGTGCTCAGGTTTTTGGGTTTGGGGTTTTTTTTCGTCTGTTTGGGGGGGTGGTGGTGTTGGTTTGTTTTTTGTTTTGGATTTTTTTTTTTTAAGAATGAGGAGGTGGTAGCTAGATTAATCACTTAAGAAACAAAAAACCTCAAATTCCTAAATTCTTAATTCTGGATTTAGATCAGCTTGCTTTACACAATAGGACTTTCTGATAGAGCCTTGCTTGCAGTTTAAGCACATGCTTAATGATAAACCTCTTCACTTTTCATAGCAAGTGGATGTCATAACTATTAACTTTACACATGGTTTAGAGGTATCTCTATGAAGATAATAGAAGAGAAAAAGAGCCTTTAAGTGCTGCCCTTGCCTGGGTACTGCTGACACGTCAGCCTGTATTTCTTTATCGACACTTTGTGCACCTTCTGCTGGACAAGTGCCAGCCTGGAACATAGTGTTTTCTCCATGAAAGAGCTGTTAGTCTTAGAGGAACAAAACCAAACATAGTTCTCACCTATAAAAATAAGCAGGACTTAAACTTACAGGACTGCAGAATATGAACTACCAAGGGGTGTATTGGCACTTTATTTGTGTTCTATAGCTGCAGAAAAGAGGAAAAAAAAGGGTTATCTTTATATTTAATTTGTGAATGCATATTGTGCAAATGAATTCATTTATCAGAGAATAATTAGAACCTGTCAAGATGCCATGAATACTGAACACTTTTGAAACAAAACAGATGTCTGAATTTCATTTCTTGTACGTTGTTTTTATTTTATGTCAGTATAGAAGAAAAATTAAGTGAGTGCTGTTGACGTACTTGAAGCTGATAGTATCTTCAGATTGTGTTGCTGACGTTCTTTTGTGGGTTTGGTGGGTTTTGTGAAGTTATTCAGAACATGTAGATTTGTAACCATATTCAAGGAAAACCTAACAAAACCTCCTGCAAGAAAATGCTTTTAAAATTACCAGGTTTTAACCTGAGATATTGGGGAGCTTTTAGCCTTTTTAAAAAATAGATGATGTTAATGTAGTGCTTTCTGCACTTTATTTACAAAATCGCTACTGTTTGAATGGTCCTGGAAAGAAAAAAAATTATGAAATATATTGGAAGTTTCAGGATAGATCTGCTTTTGTAAGTTGAGGTGAATAGAAGCAGGAAAGCACTTTCGCCACCTAATTTAGTGTACATGTTAAATGATTTAGAAGCAATCCAGAAATACTGAAATAAGGCCATATAATTATTCTGTCATCAAGATATCTCTGTTGCACACAATTTCTTCAGACTCTTCCTTAGGACTTTTACTGGGGTAGCATTAGCTGAGAAAATGGCCTAAGGTACATATACATGAAGGGAGCAGCGTTTTATGATACGTCACAATCCAGATTTATTCCATTGTTGTTTTTCCACATTCACATATCACCTATTTCTCTTCCTCTTTTTTTTAATTTTTTTTTTTTATTTCTTTACAGATGATACTTTGGGATTGGGATTTGAAGCAATGGTACAAGCCCTATTATCAGGTCAGTGTATTATGAATCTAATTTTTCTTTTGTGAAATGTGATTGAGTACAGAGCTCACTGTAAACTGTCAGATTTAAATTTTTCTCTTGACGTTTTATTTATCTAAGTTGTCCTAGTACATTCTAGCTCTATGTAGCAGAGACTTGATATTTAGCAGTTGTGACAAAGTTGTCAGGGAGCTACTTTCTGTGGTGCATATGAGAACAGTCTCATACCTAAGGTGGGAGTGGGTTTTTTTGAAATAGCCCTTAGCATAAGGTTAGGGAGTGATTCCCCAGCAATATCACCGAACTCAGGTGTACCAGGTTCTCACCTTTTTTCTTGATTGCTTGTTTCTTCCCCTGTCTCTTGTATCAGCAGTGGCATCTAATCAGCTAATGCTGTTCCTGTTCAGATAGTTATGCCAAATAAAAACTAATTACTTTTTGGACAGAATTGATAGGATTTGTTTCAGTAGAATCAGGGTTAATAAAAGTTATGAGGCTGTGGAAATTGTACCTCTATAAGTGGCTTTTAACAGTTTGACCACCAACATTTCTGTTGATATTATTGGAAGAGATAGAATACTAAGTTTAATTCTGAGACAAAGTAATGAAAAATTGAGACAAAAAAATTTGCACCAGATCTTTATGTCAAATAGAGAAAAATAAACTGAAAGCTAATGTTGAATTCTGAAATACTTTTTTTATTGTGTGAAAAACCCTGCAAATACTTTCTTTAAAAGAAAAATAAATTGCATTGATTTTTTTAAATATATTTTTCAAATTTGCAATGGATAAGATGCTTATTTAAAACTTAGAATGCTGTGAAATGCTTTTATGTGTTAATAGTTTGCGACATTTCCATTTATTCTAGAATGCTGGCAGTGGAAATGGAGTTGATCTTTCAGTACTAAATGAGGCTCGGAGCATGCTAACAGACCTCCTGACTGACCCATCCCTTCCACCACAAGTGATTTCTTCTCTTCGAAGCATTAATAGCTTGATTGGTGCTTTCTCAGGCACGTGCAGGCCAAAGACTAGTCCATTCACACCATTTCCTGGTTTCTTCCCCTGTCCTGAAAAAAACCTGCTGAAAAAGGAGATCGAAAGTTGCTCAAGGTCAAATGACTAATTTTCATTTATGTATGTTGCAATTTAAAAAAAAAAATCAAGGAAAATTAATCTGGAAAGAATATTCCTATGTGGATAGTAGTTTCTTCACTTGAGTACCTTTGAACTATGTTTAAGGTCAAAAGAGAGCAGCTGTGAAAACACATTGAGTGAAATGTAGATAGGTAGAAAAATGCAAATTCAGGTGGTTGATGCATAGACAGGTAAAAGTGCTGGTCTGCACTCTGAACACATGATTCCTCAAAATAAACACAGGATTAGAAAAACTAAGAGCAAATATAGAATGAAGACGACGTATTCTCATGATACAGCACAACCCGGGCTGTTCTTGATTCTTCCTCATTCTTGATATGGCAATTACTGTCAGTGGGGCTTTTTCACTGATATTTTTCCCCAAAGAAATTTACTCTTGTAAACATCAAACTAGCCGTCAGACAGAAACAAATCAACTATATAAAAGGAAAAATATATCTTCTTTCTGTACAGCACATCACATTATGGGACCAGTGTGTAAATCTACTGTCACTTCTCCCTTATCTAGGGTAAATAAGTGAAAGCAAGAATGTAGTTACTATATGACATGTTAAGGAACATGGTGGAAAAACATTCAAATGTAGAAAGTCATCTACAGTGCACCAGAGCTAATGATTCTAAGGTAGCCTGGTATTGACAGCTTGAGGCCAAATTGGTCAACTTGTTGGCTTGGTTCTTTGGAGCCAAATAAACTGCCTTGAGCCAGATTCAGCCTGTGAAATGTCTGTTGGGAACCATTGTCAAGACAAATGCTTTTGGGGAGAAGCTTAGTGTCTACAGAATACTCTGGAAGATCCTGCAGGATCATTGCAGTATGAAATGCCTTGGAATGTCACATGGATATCTGCAGAAATCAGTTGAGTAGGGATCATAATCATTCAGCATATGTTTTTCTTTGTGGATTTTTTTGAAAACTGCTAAGGCTCGGTATACCAATGTGAAAAATATAATTTATTTGAGTGTGAAAATGTAACTTACAATTTTTTAAATTTCTATATCGCTAGTCAGAATTGTTTGAAATGCAAAGTATTCATTGCTGAAGACTGGTTATAAAGATGATGTGAGATTGAAAGACTATGTTTTTTCACAGCTGTTCTCTTTTCCTCTTTCCTAAAAGTAATTCTTCCTGTAAGTTCGGGGGTTTTTCTGTATATTAATTTACTTGGTGGATAAAACAGTGCTTGTCACTATTATTCAATGAATGTTTGACTTTGGTAGATGTTTAGGGGTAAGCCAAAAGTTCTACCTCTATGTATGTTACTGCAAGAAAGAAAAAAATTCTCTTTCTTTCAAAAGCCAGGTAAGTTGGCACAAACTGTAGATTATGACACACCAAAGAAAATAATAAGAAAGTATCTCTTCAAAATGGGACCTTTTAGACTATATTGAAAAGTTCCCATTCTCTCTTTCAAAAAAATCCCTGACTTGGAATATAAAGGTCTTCTCCATATTTCAAACAAGTTGTTCCTTTGCCAAGGATTATGTACATCTTTCTCTTCCCTGACTGTCTTCCACAGTGCATCCAGTTATAAGTGATGGGGATCTGCCTGTTCTCTTTGGTAGTTAAAAAAAAAAAAAAAAAAAAACCAAAACAAACAAACAAAAAAAACCCCAAAAAAAACAACAAGGAAAAGAAAGAAACTGAAACTGACATTCAGATCTTGGGCTAGCAATAACTGGTTATCTAATGCTAACTCTTCACTCTGAATTTCTTGCTAGTCAACAACTTGGGAATCATAAATGGCCCAGTTTGTGCTATTCACTGATCAGTCTCTTTAAATTCCTAAAATAGAAAAAGGAAACAGACAAAAAACATCTCGGGGCTGCTTTGCAATAGAAAGACTTTTCACTTCGATTGCGACTGAACTGTCCCCAGATTTTCTAGCACATGACAGTAGACTGCTTGGTGGATTTCTGGTGTTATCAACAGTCATGATTTTAATAATTTTCACTCTTTAGGCAAGTAAAAGTTGTCCAGGCAAGCACTTGAGTATCCACATCCCTTGTCTTCTGGCCTCGTTATTGCTGGAAAATAAAAGTCTTTTCATAGAATCACAGAATGCTTAGAGTTGAAAGGCACCTTGAAGATCATGTAGTTCCAACTCCCCTGACATGGGCAGGAACACCTTTCACTAGACCAGGTTGCTGAAAGCCCCATCTAAGCCAGCCTTGAACACTTCCAGGGATGGGGCATCCACAACCTCTCTGGGCAACCTGTTCCACTCTCACCACCCTCACAGTAAAGAATTTCTTCCTAATATCTAATCTAAATCTACCCTCTTTCAGTTCAAAACCGTTACACTCGTCATATCACTACACCTATAAAGAGTCCCTCCCCATCTTTCCTGTAGGCCCCTTTTAAGTACTGGAAGGGTGATATAAGGTCTACCCAGAGTCTTCTCTTCCCCAAGCCGAACAACCTGAACTCTCTCAGCCTGTCTTCATAGGAGACACGCTCCAGCCTTCTGATCATGTTCATGGCCCTCCTCTGGACTCAGTCCAACAGGTCCATGTCCTTGTTCTGTTGAGGGCTCCAGGGCTGGATGCAGTACTCCAGGTGGGGTCTCATGAGAGTGGAGTAGAGGGTCAGACTCACCTCCCTTGACCCGCTGTCCACGCTTCTTTTGATGCAGCCCTGGATGCGGTTGGCTTTCTGGGCTGCAATTGCACATGGCCGCCTCATGTTGAGCTTCTCATTCACCAGCACCCCCAAGTCCTTCTCCTCAGGGCTGCTTTCCATCCATTCTCCACCCAGCCTGTATGTGTGCTTGGGATTGCTGTGGCCCACGTGCAGGACCTTGTCTCTCCAAGACAAGGATGTCATGCGGGACAGTGCCAAATGCTTTGCACAAGTCCAGGTAGATGATGTCAGTTGCTGTTCTCTTATCCACCAACACTGTAATGCCATCATAGCTACCAAATTTGTCAGGCACGATTGACCCTTAGTGAAGCCATATTGGCTGTCACCAATCACCTCCTTATGTGCCTTAGCATAGTTTCCAGGAGGATCTGCTCATAATAACTTTGATTTCTGGTATAGTCTAAATTTTGTTTCCAGAGCAACTTTTCCCCTTTGTATGGTGATTATCAGTGACTTTGCTAGCATAGAGTGATCTGGAGTTCCTTAGTCCTTTGCTACCCTTGTTTTGTTTATTCTCTGCTTCTTTATCTAGTAGGGGAAAGTTCTGGAAATTTGTCATATCTCCTCTTATTCTTAGAGTAGCCAGGAAGAAGAAAAAGTAATTGCAGGTGCTGGGGCCATCTTTGCATATTGTGCTAATGTGCACTTGTTTCAGGGAGTGGACCTTTCTTCTCCAAAGTCAGGGATTTTCAGCTGTGCTCCCCATGTTGTAGAGAGCATGCAGGTTAGATTGTGGTCCATTGACAGAGGAGTGCACTCCAGCTTGAGAGCGCTACCATTGTATGACAGCACACAGAATACACTTCTCGGGTTCTCTTTTGGGTAGGGCTGGTTAAGGACTGCTGCATGTTTCTGTGGGAGATGTGGTGGTCTTATTCTGCTTGTCCAATTCCACCTTTCTGGTTGTGACTACAGCTTTGCAGCAAAGCAAACAGATTCACGGTACATCCCATATCAAGGACTCAAAGCAGTCTGATTTTTCAGGGTAAGAGACTACTCTTTTGTGTCAATATGGTTTCTTTTTTTTTTTTTTGAAATACATAGTAGCTCTGTGAGTTAAGTATGATCTTTGACCACCTGACAAAGCTTAAAATTGCAAAGTCATTATTTCTGCCAGACTTTTGAAGTGGTAGTATCCAAGGGTCACTAGTCCTCACACATGACCCTGTAGACCTTACTCAATACTGCAAATACTGCTTTGGATTTTTTGTTTTAAACATTTTTTTTTCCTGGCGTCCTTTTTACTTTGCAAGGTCTGATTACATACATCTGTATTATGCAGAAGAATCCCTACCCCCTCCTGCCCCCACTGAATGGCCAAATCTAGGGATAAGTTAGTACGTGGATTGTGGACTGAATGCAGTGAGAGAGATATTATTTTTTTTTTTTATTAATTTGTTTAAAATACAATGTATAGGTTATCTGTGGAATGGATGCAGATACATTAGAGCTGGCTTTGAAGTTTCAGTTCAGTGATCTTATCCTTTCTATTAGTTAGGTTCTACTAGTTGCTATTTAAACATGGATTTCTGGGGGTATTTCAGTAAGGCAGAGCTAGTAAGTCCTGAGTTATTTCCATACAGGACTGTTTGAGTGCCTCTGTGCTGCTTTGCAGAGGCCTTTGCGTTCAAATACGATGGAGATTCCCAGTGTTGTGCCCAGACTAACAGCTCCCAGGCTGGGAGTGAAGAGGTGCCTGGGAAGCTTTCCAGGTGCTGTGGGGCCGGTATGGAAGCAGAGAAGGAGCCTTTATGGACCAAAACTGACCACGTGCATTCTGTGTCATCCTTTCCATAAGTTCCACCATACTCACACCATCAATATTTAGCATCTGAGCTGTCAAAAGCTCAGGCTATCCTGAGAGCTGGAGAGCTGACTGTAGTCACATGATTGGGACGTGTAGAAAAAGAATCTGTAATCCTACAGCAGCTATCTCTAGAAGATCTCCATTTTTAAAAGCTCTGAAGAGTAATTGTTGGACCACATGGATTTCAGCATACAAGTATCTTTACATATTTTAATTTAGGGAATTACTTCTAGTAAGCAAAATAATTTGATTGAATCTTTTTTATTTTCTTGAGCAATAAGAGTGAATGTAAGATACCATACTTACTGTTTTACTATAAAAAAATTAACAATAAATAGTCTTAACAAAAAAATAAATGCGATTTTAATGTATGTGTTAAATTATATAGATTTTAACCATGGTTAAATTACTCACCAGGGATTAAATAGCAGGAATAGCCTGCCAACATCACAGCTGAGACGAACTTCAGGAGTTTCTGGCATTCCACCTATAGAATCAACAGCATCTAGATGGGAACGGAGTAACACCAAGAGATCTCATCAGGAATATAGCACATCCAGGTAAGCGTTTAGGCTACATTTATAATTATCCTTAAATGTAGTTTTCTAAAATGTTCATGCCTGTAATGCTGGAACTTGACAGCAGAAGTATTTAATGTAAAATCTTGTGAATTAAGTCTTCAAATTCTGCCAGCATAAACTGGAAAATGTTTCAAGTTAATTATATACTATGCTTTGTAACTCTGATCTCAAGTAGAAATCAGGTCATTCTGAGGTTGAATGGTATGCTCTGTTATAATAAGTAGGCCTGCATATCAGTTTTAGTAGGAAATGAAAAAAAGTCCAACATACACGATTGCAAAACAAACTAGTTTAACCTATAAACCTTTACTAACTTCCTCCTTCTCCTTTTTACTTAAAATGTGTATCATTTTCTGACTTCCATATGCCCCAAAATTTGTTTTCTAATTAAAAAGACAATATAACTTTCTTGCATTTGGTAGCCACTGTTTTGTGTATTGCAACATTTATTATTCCTATGGTCATCAAGCAAGCAGTAAGGTGGATTAAGAGAGTCATCTCCTCTCTACTTGTTAGTCAATGTGGTACAAATAAAGCTTTTACCTCCAGAATTAAGATTACATTTTGAATTAGAATTAAAATAAATGTAGATTTTTTTTTCTTTTTGCTTAATGTATATGAGTGAAACTTTACACATTTAGTTTTATTTAAATATAGTTTTATTTAAATGCGTAAATATGTATGACTGCTCAATATCTTGGAAGAAAAGTACAACAGATAGTTGAAATTGTGTTGCAGCTTAAATCCATAAAAATGTGTGTGGTTTTGCTATTTTTTTTTTATACTTGGTATCTCGTAAGACTTTAATAGTTTTCCATAGATCATAAGAAAAGTATAATAGATGCAATTTTTTAAAGAAAAAAATAGTTATGCTATTAACTGATAATTACTAGTAGTGGACGAAAGTTTATATACATGTGTCCAAGAATTTATTTAGCAATATTATATTTAATTTTAAAGTGAACCATTTAAATAATTTGGCCCTTGTCAGTGGCTTTTTCCTCTTGAATAAAATATGCTTTTCAGGTTAATTGTGGTCTGTGTATAAAATATAACTGAAGATGCTAGTAGTAGTAGTAGTTTAAAGACTGTATTTTCATGCTGGTTTGCTTATCAGTGTTTGAAAGAATCTCCCCAGTTATATTCACTGGAAATATCCAGAGACCTGAGAAATCTCTTTAAACTTACAAACCGTGGGACTTCAGTTTGAGGCTCAGCACTTCTGGTACAGACGCAGTGTACGTTTACAGAGGATTTCCTTACAGCTCCTACCAACCAAAGAGCCTACCCAAGCTCACCTGATTAAAAGCAGCAGTATAGAAAACACCCTTGCTCATACTCCATCACTTTTAAATTATCTCTCGACCCTGATGACTAGCACTTCTGGTTAGTCATGTTCTCCTGCTTTGCTCCTATCCACTCCCATACAGCCCTAGAATATGTTTGCTTTTTTAATGGTTTGTGTCCTGCCTTTCAGAGTTCTTGCCAACACTTGTACTGTCCCTGTCTCCTTGCATCTTCCAGTGATTGTTCTTAATGGTTTCCCTTTAACGTATAACACATAATAATCTCAAAATCCCCCATGGGTGCTTACCTTACAGATAAGGTTAGATGAAATAGCTGAACTTTCCTTCTGACAAAAGAGGCAGTCCAGCATTCCTAGAGCACTTTGTGCCATTGGCTTTGGACCTTGAGCCAGCCCCTTAAATTGTCAGAAAAATAGCAACAATAAAAAGACAGTTTTTCCTGCCTTGGGGAGCTGATTCAGCCCAATGAAGGACCCAATGAATGTTAGAAGAGAAGCAAGGAGAAGCAGGCTAGGTTAATAGTGAAAAGGGAGAGTAAAACAGCAAACTGTTCACTGGGAGGAAAGCTTATCAAAAATCAAAATATTATACAATGACTGATTTCTACATGCTAGCTGAGTTGAGAAAGGTAAGATATTACATAGTGGTAAAATAAATTAATATTGCTACAAAATTTAATTTCATGTTCCAGATTTTTTTTTCTATCCATCCAGACAGTGGTTCAAAAGCAGCTCTTGAGAGTTGCTGTTATATTTGCACACAAATTCCTGATTTGGTTTCTCATGCAAACACTAGTTCAGGATAAACTGACCTGCTTAATATATTGTCTTTCTACACTAAATACTGTGCAGCATTTGTATGTGCTTTAAAAGAATACATGTAGGCTATGATAACTAAACCATGTAGAAATAATGAAAAGTTTAATCTGTCCCAGTTGTCAACCCAAACGTTTTTTAAAGTTGACTAACATGTTAGCATCAGACTTCAGAAGAATAAATCCGTGTTTTTTCTTTAACTCATTTTTTATATTTATATATTTAAACAAATGATGGGAGATCAAGTATTATTCCTGTATTTGACTTTTGTTTGAAATCTTATTAAACAAGATTAAATCTGTTTTGGTTATTACTGTGTTCCCATACTGAAATGAAATAAGTAGTTTCCCATAAACTATTTGCACTTTAAAGTACATCTATACAGTTATATTTAATTGCATATCGCATTTTTGTTTACTAAATTAAATATATAATTGGAATTTTGGAGTGCAATTTCGTGACTAGAACAGCAGATGGCATAATTCAACAATAGAGTTTAACAATTTAGCTACTGAAATACAATATGACTATTTAGTTTTTAGATTATAATAAAGAAAATGATTCATTAAATATGAAAAATTGATTTGAAAAACAAGCCATGTCTGCATAAGATTTTCAAAGTATTTCCAAAGTAACCAATCTTTTAAATTTTCTCAGATCTGTTAGAAAATAGCCTGCTTTGTTAAAACGTTCAAGAAAAGTAAATACCATGTTAGAAGGTAAAACCTGGTCTGGATATATTCATTCTGTCATTTTAGGACTGCATAAAGTTTTCTGTTACTTTCACCCAGTACCCAGCAGTTTTTAATTCTGTATAATTGACATATATTGTCTAGCTGATCTTGAATTCGACTCCTTTCTAGTACTCTCTTTTTCTTGAAAGATAGTGCACCTGTAACAGAGCAGTCTGGCCATTCTGTAAGCATTTTATTTAATAAAAATAGAAGACAAGGTAGGAAAGAAAAAAAAAAATTCTTACTGTTTTCTTTTCAGCCAAGGATCTCATTCAAACGGGTCTTTTGGTGCAAACTTGCTGACGATACCAAAACAAAGATCAACTTCTATAACATTGACTCATCATATAGGTCCCAGACGAGCAGGTAAGATCATGCCATTTGTATTAGCTTAGTGGCAGGACGTTATTATATCATGTATTAGAATTGGGTTTTTTTCATGTAAACATAGTAATAAAATAACATCAGCATGTTGCATATGTTCAAAAAATATTTTATTTTTAATCTGCTTCTAATAATACTCAAAATTACAGTTCACATCAACTTTGTAGAAATCTGAACTATTCACCTAATGCTATGTAGCTGCAAATGTTGTCATGTTCAGTATGGTTGGTACCTCTTGACTCCTAAATACCTGATAGCCGTCTGAGATGAATATTAAAAAAATTTTGGAAGGAGTTGGAGTAGATTTTACTCTAACACTGTCAGCATAATAAGCTAGTAGATACTGTAGCAGCAGTGCTGAAGTAATGTGTGTATCAGTAGCTCAGAGATTATAATTTGTCTGTTTGCCTAAATTAAGTGAAAACTTGAAAGCTGCTTCTTTTGACATTTATGCCTATCCCTTTTAGCATGATTTAAAAATAACAACCTATCTAATAACGTTGTTTTATAAAAGCTTAAATATGCAGGTTGGATTGAGAGAGATGAATGCACTTTTTGATTTTTTTATTTATTTTTATTTTTTAATCCAAAACCTGTCCGGTTTTCTCTGTATTACTTACTGATGGTTTGGTTCTTTCACTTACAGTCTTCTAAATATGCAGAGATGTGCAAACTCAGGTCAGATCCACGTGTAAACACATTGGTGCACATTCTCAATGGTTCTGTCTTCATAAAAAGCTGGGCTGCCTTCTGCACTTTTCTACTTTGAATCTTGTGGGAAATACAGAGCGCAATGATATGCATTAAAACCTGCTGAAATTGTACATGTGAAAAGGGTGAACTTAAGTAACCAACATTAGAGTATTAATCTGTTTTAGCTCTGGAAGCAAGTTTACAAGTTGCTTCTCAGCTTTCCTGATCTTTCTTTGCAGCAGTGAAGTGACATTTGCTTTCTAAAACTTGTGTCGCTGCACCTAGCAATGTAGACTTTGAAAAATCCTGTCTCTTACTGTAACAAAATGTAATTACATACTACTCTTAGTGTGTGAGGCAGGTCAGTGTATCCTATGACACTGTTGGAAGTGTATCATCTATGCTTTCCTTATTTAAGGGCAATACTGTATATTCTCTCAGTAATTTGTTATCAGGAACTGTACAGTCATAAGACTTATGGTGGTGTTTTTGCTTCATAGTTTGCAGCAGAATTCAGTGTTGGAAAGTCCACAGAATACCTCATTATTTAGCTCACAGGCACTTTATTCTTTTTGATCAAAATATGTTTACAATGGCTATGACTTACCTTGGGTGCTTGTAGATAACCTGTCTTTTGTATATTTTCACAAACGAAAGAAATGATGTTTTGGCTTAATGCAAAATTTTGTTGTAAATTCATGTTAGGCGCAGAGTAGCCGAAGTCCAGATTTACCAGCTTGCTTTCCTAGATTGCACAGGCAAGAGCCTGAAGTAAACCCTAGCTTACTGTTTGAACAGGAATGGGGAATTTCATGGACCTAAGGAAGATGGAGTTGGTTGGTTGGTTTTTATCTCTAATTACCTATAAGCAAACTTTAGATTTTATTTTTTTTTTCCCAGTGGCTTATTAGGCAGATCTAGATAGATAATCATGCCAATAAAAAAAATCATAGAATCATAGAATGGTTTAGGTTGGAAAGGACTTTGAAGATTATCGAGTTCCAGCCCCCCTGCCATGGGCAGGGACACCTCCCACTAGACCAGGTTGCCCAAGGCCACGTCCAACCTGGCCTTGAACACCTCCAGGGATGGGGCCTCAACAGCCTCTCTGGGCAACCTGTTCCAGTGCCTTACCACCCTCAAAGAGAAAAATTTCTTCCTAATGTTTAATGTAAACCTGCCCTCTTCTGGTTTAAAGCCATTCCCCCTCGTCCTGTCACTACATGCCCTAGTAAAAAGTCCTTCCCCAGCTCTCCTGTAGGCCCCCTTTAGGTACTGGAAGGCTGCAATAAGATCTCCCCGGAGCCTTCTCTTCTCCAGGCTGAACAGCCCCAGCTCTCTCAGCCTCTCCTCATAGGAGAGGTGCTCCAGTCCTCGGATCATACTCGTGGCCCTCCTCTGTACATCACTGTCATCAAAATGTACCTCACTGTCAAAAAAGACCTGTATCTGCCCACTTTAATCCCTTGCTTCAAAAATATGATTATAACATTTTGGTTTTTTACTTTGTTTTTTAAAAATGTCTGAAGAATATTTTCTTTTTATTGCAAAACAATGAGATAAAAGATTTTTTGTCTAAGTCAGTTATCAATACTGAATTGGTTTTGATGATTATTTTTTTTTCTGGGAAACTTAAAAAAGCAATCCTGAATCAGAAAGGAATATGGGAAGTTTCAACTACTGATTAAATTTTGCCAAACCTAAAACCAAAATCAAAACTTTGAAAGCCAGATATTATAACACGTTACATAGTTTGCCTATTCAGATGTGTAGCCTAGACTGCTGCATAGTTGTAGATCTCAAAACTTGGAATAGAGCTAGCTACTTTATATGTCTTTAAAAGTGTGAACTATACACTGTGTTTTGAAAACTCGCACATTCTTTACAATTGATAAATATCGATTCTTGCTGTTTCATTTCAATCTTTCCAAACAGTAATGTTTTTATTGTAATCTGAACCCCATGTAATGTTTGTTTTGGAAGGTGCTTCTTCTGGCCTGAGTCCTGTGGGTTCACCTAGTCATGGATCTGTCTCCAGTGGGGCTTTCAGCAGCTGGTCACCTGTAGAATTTCCTGATACTGCTGATTTTCTTACAAAACCAAGTATTAATATACATAAGCCTCCAGGACACACATTTAGCTCTTCAGATTTTCAGCAGCAAGTTAAAACACCTCTAGGTTATATGTGTAGCAGGTACTGTAAACTCTGTTACATTTTTAGTAACTTCATATGTGTTGAAAAGAATACAATTAAAATGAAAAAATATAACAAGACCTATACATCTATTGGTATTGACAAAAAGGCATATGATCTCATAATAATCTGTAACTATATTACCCAGGAGAGACTAAAGAATGCTGTATGTATGCCACTGATTTGAAATGGGTCATCCTTGAAAGCAACAGTTATTGTAGAGAAAAAGTATTTTACAGATTTTTAGAAAAGGAGGACTTCCTGCCTGGGAATTGAATTCTGTATTTCTGAATTCTTTATAAATAATTACCTCTACTTATTAATTCATGGAGGTGAGTCCAGGGGAGGTGATGTGTGATTATTTTCTAAGTACAGGCTAAACCTGTATGTGCCAAATTTAGAAGAAAAATACTAGGGTCATTTGGTGGAGGAACCTTCAAAAGTATGCCTTTTTAAGGAAAGTAATTTGCAGATATTTTCAGTACAACACAGCAGTAGGAAAATACAAAAATTACTGAATGTTGTAAATATTTTTCATGTGTTCTATAAGCTGTGGACGTCAGATACTCAAGCCTGTTCCAACACCAGAACCAGAATTTGCAGAATATAAAGACAGAAAATCAGGTGGGATTTCAAAATAGACAAATATTCGATATCAGCTTTTTTTTTTTTTAAGCCAATTAAATGAAAATTTTTATATTTCTACATTTTCCCTGTACTTTAAGTTACTCATATGCATATATTTTATTTTAGATTGTGGCTTAGGATAATCAAGATAATTTAAAATATTGCCTGCTTCAGAGCAAGGGGTTTATAATACACTTCCACTCACAGCTTTGTAGTTTTGCACTCCATATATCAAACAAGTTCTCTGCCATCTCAGCTAAACTAATCACTGAACCAGTTTTGGGGAGTAAAAAGTTATGCTTCCAGCTTTTCTCAATCTTCAAATAGGTTTTGTCTAATAAATTTTGTCCTTTGCAACTTTTTTGTTGTTAAATTCTTAAATAAAAATGGTTTAGAAACAAGCTATTACTTATATTTCTGTGACTAATCTGTATGATCAGTTCAAGAATTAGTAGACAGTAGTAATTTACAAATAAATTATTGACATAGTATTTATGTATGTATTTTCTTTAAGGTGAAATTGGAAGTGCTAATGTTTCAAAAGAATCTTTCCACCATACAGAGAAGAAAAAAGATGAAAGGAAGGAAATGATCGATCAAACACAAAATAATCTGCTTGTAAGCATGTAATTGCAAAAAAACTTGCAATAACTTTTATCAATACAGTATTTCCTTATCATTTCTAAGATGCTGTGGAGACGTCTTTGTATTGCTAAGAATTGTAATTTATGAAGGGAAATGGTGCATCATTGGAATTCAAATTTTCATTTAACAATTGTGTATTTCCAGCTTGCCTAAATTTCACTAGCAAATGACAAGAAAGGTGGTGATTGTATTAAGTTTTTGTTGGTGAAACTAATTTCTGCAGAGTTAGTGTTCAGTATGCTCAAACACTGATTGACTAGTATTTTTTCTTGGAAGTTTATGAAAGATATGGCAGTTTCAGTGAGACTTACAAATGAATGTTTGTACAGTGGTATATTGGAAGTGCAGGGAGACTAATGGTTTAAGCTTTACTAGCATTGTGGGTTTATACATAAATTGTTTTAAAGCTTGTTCAATTAATGAACTGTTAAAGCTCAGTAAATGAAAATTTAGCACCATCTCAGAAAGACCTGGAATCTGCTGCCCCAAAAGATGAAATGTCAAGCCCTTAACTGTCCTATTTGTACTATTGATTTATGATTTTCTCATAGCTGTAGTTACAGCACCATTCAATAAGTTCAATAATGATTTATCATTTTCATGGCTTTCTTTGCCAATATAACTGACAAATTAGTTTTCGTTGTTATTTTAGAGATGATGAAGTATCTTACTCTTGCATAGGTGGAGCAGAGTCCTACATTAGAAACAATGTTATTAGACCATGATTCACTAATGGAGAAGATGAACAATTGGAATTTCCAAATTTTTGACCTTGTACAAGAAATGGGAGACCAGTCTGGAAGGATCCTTAGCCAGGTTTGTTGACTTTCATTATATGAGGGAGGGTGTGTAAAGCTGTTGTGCTCATGTATTTTATTTAAACCATGAAGAAGTTTTGCAGTCAACATATATATATGAATGCTAACTTGAAAAGTAGAAATAAATTTCTCATGTACTCCATCTCGTTGTAAACCATAAAAAGTGATTTTTCTATAGACAACTTGCTCTAAATTTTCTGAATTTTATTCTCAATGTAAAAATAGGTTGGATTCACACTTACTAGGTTTTGCAGTAATATGCCATTTCCTATGAAAAATTGTCTCCTGCTTTCAGAATTACTACCATGTTTGTCAACCATATCTTTTTTCTTTATTTCAGTAAAATATTTCTGCCAGAGCTACACCTGTGGGGGAAGAGAAGTGGTCTTTTAGGCAGTCTTTTGCCTCTTGATCCTACAAACAATGGGATTTTTTTTCCATGCTGCTTTCTGCATGTAGTATCCCTTTTATCTCTTTCTGACTTATTACTAAGCTCTTTCATGCAGTTCCTTGTTGTGCTGAAGCCAATCTACTGGCAAGTGCAAAAGTATGATCCTGTTTGCTCTTTCCCAGCCTCTCCTATGCATCAATGTCATCTGGAAGCTTCTGTCTCTTTCTTTATACTGGATGTAGCAGTCATGCAGCTATAGTATGAGCTGGATTTGCTTCTGATCTGATCATATAGTATTTTTATTGCCAATATCTTAGTTTTCTACCGTTGAGTAGAAAGCATGTTAGTCTTGTTCAAGGGTAGTGTTAGGAACAATCAGCTGGAAGGAAGGAAACATATCAGAAGTACTAGGGTGCAGTTGGAACCATAGGCCTGCACCTATACTGAAAATAGGAAAAAACAATGGGGATAATTTAATTTTTGTCATTTGACACTATCTTTTCTTTCATAATACACAATATTCTGGGTATTGTTTTAAATCTGCAGTTAGTCTTGTTTAAACAAATGTTTTTGGGTCTTTTGTCACCTCAGTTAGTGACAACTGTTAATGTACAGACTAGAATGCCACAATCCACTTTTGAGTGGTGTTCTTACTGTAATATACTAATATTCTGTGATCCACATTAGCTTGCATTTCATTTGTGTGTAATCTAGGGAATAGTTCAAACCTGTAAATACTTAAGTGTGCAGGTTCCTACTTAGGTCTACCAGAATTTCTGTATCAGTTCTTCCTGATATTGTGTCTATGTGTACTACTTGTCCTTCTCCTCTTCCCACCCCAGTCCTTTTGTCTGTTGTGCTGTAAGCATCTGATACATATCTTAAGAGCCACATAAAAAATATATTTTACCATCACCAGCTGTAAGGTTCTCAGACTGGATATGTGTAAGGGGGAATGGTTGGGACAGGTGGAAGGAGGGATGTCCCCTCATTTTGCTCTCATATTCCTTTGAGCACCTCACACATTTCAGAACTTATTTTTTCTCTCAAGTGTCTGGGAAAGAAGTGATAAAAATGAGTAGCAGTGACTTGTTTTGGAAAGCTTTCTTAATATTTGCAGTCTTGGGGGGGATTAGGTCCTCGTAGTCACTAAATTCTATTTGTAAACCATAATACATTTGCACAGTATATACATATGTGGGTGTTCCGAGTACACTGTTGAAAATACCCGAGATAAGTCATAAACAATAACAGATATAAGATTTCTTTGCCCAAGTCTCTAAAAGAAATACAATGTTGGGTTTTGGTGTTTTATATTAATGGCTCTGCTACTGTAGTTAAATAATTTGAATTTTTGAATCATAGGATGGTTTGAGTTGGAAGGGACCTTAAAGATCATCTAGTTCCAACCTCTCCCTGCCACAGGCAGGGACACCTTCCACTAGACCAGGTTGCTCAAACAATAATGAGTTAGAATAATAAGTAAGAATAAAGATTTCTTCTTTTTAGGTCACTAATGGAATAAAGCATGAGTTCTTTAACATTCTGAAAATTTTGGAGAATACTATTAAAAATAATCAGTTCTGAATAGAGTTTATCAGTAAAGAAATAAAAGCTTTTACGATTCTGTATTTGACAGGATGGTAACAATCCTTATTTTTGTGCTAAAAATCATTAAACATTTCTATGACAATAGTTTTCAGATAATCTTTAATGGAATTTGAGTTATTTCCATCTCTATCAGCAAGTAAAATTTTAAAAACAGGGATATATTTTAAGTTGAAAAAGCAGAATATGCTTAGGTATATTTTTCAGACTAAAATTCATTTTAATATGTATTTAGGTAACTTATACCTTGTTTCAAGACACTGGTTTGTTTGAAATTTTCAAAATTCCAACTCAAGAATTCATGAATTACTTCTGTGCACTAGAAAATGGCTATCGAGATATTCCCTGTAAGTACTATCCAATTACATATGTTTTTCTTTATATCAATGCATCTCCTTTAGTGTGTGTATTAGTTTAAAGTTTAATACAGAAGTATACAATGTCTGAACTTAGTATATTTTTAATTAATACATTTGTCAGAATTTAGAACTGATTTAATGAATTGCAGCAAAGAATTAGTGGACTACAAAACTGAATTTGTTAATATGTAGGTTGAATATAATCCTAAAGAACTTGAATGAGTACTTGACTCAAACATTCTGAAGTCAATGGGAGAATATTTGTTGATGTAATAGAAATTTGGTTTACGCCTGTAATAGAATAATAAGAAAATACAGAATTTTGACAGTAATTATTCATCTTTCTGTTTAGGGCAGCCAAATGTATTGGAAAACAAAACAAAACAAAACAAGACAAACCAGCTCACACACACCCCCCCATGTCCTAGATGCTTGCACCAACCCAGGTGCTTGTAGCTATCATATTGGAAGCAATGTTAGTGGCTCACCATCGCTGATTTAAAAGGCTACTTAATCCCTTCTGACTCTCAGGCAGAATGAAGTATGCTTAGAGGATGTTTGGTGTTTATCTAACTTGTTTCTTAAAAATGTTTGGTGATAGAGCCTCTACTAACAATTTAAATTCAATTTTTCCTTTATATTTGATCAAAATCTCCCATAGAGTGTTTGGCACGTTACATTTCTTTTTTTTTATTTATTTTTATTTTTGTTCCTTTGATTATATTTCAGATAATATTTTTGGTTATGTTTTGATAATTTTCAGATCACAATCGTATACATGCCACAGATGTTCTTCATGCAGTATGGTATCTGACAACGCGGCCCATTCCTGGATTTCAGCAAATGCATAATGAGCATATAATGGAAAGTGATATGGGTGTGTATTCACATCGGTTATTTTTTCCTTTTGCTGTAAGAATGTTTTTTATAAAACTACAATTAGTAAAAAAAATTACTCTGGAAGAAAATATCTAGTTATTCTTATCACTCAAAATTTTTTGTGTTTTAGTATAAGGCAGTAGAAATATCACAATGTTAGTATGCACTTTTCAGAAATATCATGCAGTACATTTTTAGAAAAATTATTAGATGAGTTAGTTTGTTAGCCAAGAATACAGGTTCACTTAATAAATTTTCTGTGATGAATGAAACCTCTGTATACTGCTATAGTTGGCGTATTTTTAGCATTTGAAATCCATTAGACTAATATTTCTTAACTTTATTGCAAAATTAAATAGATCCAGGAAAAAAAACCCAAAGTCAAAGTACTTCACTTAATTGAAGTTCTCAGTAGTTTTAGTGTAAAAATGAGTATTTCAGAATTCTGTGTTAGATATCACATGCAGACATTCAGGCATTGAACTGACTACCCTAATAATTACTGCATAAAAGCATCCCTGAAAGAGAAATAGAGACTTCAAATTCAAATTTTGTGTGACACTAGTTTTAATGAAGCTTGCTTTTGTGTTGTCTGTGACTTCATGGAATTAACTTTTAAATTTAGATTTATAGTTTTTACTGAAATACATAGTGCAAGTAAAACACAATTATTCTAAATATACACTTTTTACTAAAATGTATGCACTGCTTGCACCCTATTGCATTTTCTTTCTCTAAGTGTTTAAAAGGGTTGGGACTGGAGACTTGACTAGAGGAAAGAAAAATGATAAAAATCCTTTTGTTTCCCTTTAGAAAAAAATAAAATTAAAATAAGAAGTTATAGTCTTATTGCTTTGGATCTGTCCCAGTTGGAGAGAAACAGTAGTGCTGTTGTTTTAGGAAGGGGATGAAATTCCAGGTCTGCATAACAGCAGCCTGACAGTAAGGGGAAAGCAAAGAAGTGACAGAAACCTTAACAGTAATGTCTAACCATTGGTATCTATGTGGATATTCCAAGATCTGTAGTTTGGACTCAGAGATGTACATTTTTGCTAGTTTTTCTCCACTTCAGTCCCTTCCATGGAACAAATACCTACAGGTGCATTTTAATAATTAAAAGCTTAGATTATTATGGTTGCTTTCCAATCTAAATGACAACTTTACTGCAATCAAGAGACAATAAACTGGATGGCTGGTGTCCCTTGTTCTATCAGATTGCCTTCTGTGCTTGCTGAAACGTTCCTCTCAACCAGTCTTCTACAGCACAAATGAACTGTAGCTGCAAAGAGTGATTCCCTCTGTTTTGTGTCTTCTAAGACACCATACAGTTTCAAGGACCAAGGCAAATCTTTGCTTCCTTCCTCTCCTCTTCTGACAGGCAGTGTGGATATGTGCCCCACACATATTGCCAAAAGTGTAAAGTCTACATTTCTTTTTCTAAAATTGCATGGCAAGAGCAAGCTCTGACTGTGGTGAATTAAAAACATTTTTTTTTCCTGATCATGACTGTACAAAGCTCTTCTGAAATCTCCTTTGTGTGAATGATTATCCCTTACCGTTGTAATGGGAAATCTTGTCTGAAAAAAATGGATCCTGAGGTATATGTGTATGTAGTAGTAGGTAAAGAATTGGTTTTAGAACAGGAACATTCCGCTTTCCAGTTTTGGGACACTTCTTACAGGCTCCACGCTGTCCTGTAGGATTTTGCCCTTCTTGTGTAACGTCATGAAACAGCTGAAGCTTTTTATGTATTTGTAAGTCTGCATCTACCCTTTTGGACAACCCATGTGGCCATGATGAATTTATGACTTACTGGCATTTCAACTTTTCTTCAAAAATGCTGGTTTATCTATAAACAAGAGCATAACTTTTTTTTTTTTTTTAAGTATAACTCCTTGCCAATTATTCAGCTCCACAATTACAAGGATAACTACACTAAGATTATGTTCACAATAGTATCTGGCTGAGTAATTTAAAATGTATTAAAATATGAATGAAATCATGTTCTAAATATATTTTTTTGGTGTATTTTCAATTTTCTTAGATGAAGACAGTGGTATTGCCCCTGTTCAAGTCAGCTATATTTCTTCAAAAAGTTGTTCTATTGCTGATGACAGTTATGGTTGTCTGGCATCAAACATTCCGGCTTTGGAATTGATGGCTTTATATGTAGCAGCAGCCATGCATGATTATGATCATCCTGGTCGTACAAATGCTTTTCTAGTGGCTACAAATGCACCTCAGGTAAGAAATTTTTTTAGCAGAAAATTATTTATCTGTATCTGAAATCAGAATAATGAAAAATTTTCTCTTCTTTGTTCCTACTGTAGCCTGTTTAGGAACATTTGCCCAATTTAAGAAATTGGGAAATTAATTTGTACTTAACTTGTGTAATACTTTTTTTTTTTTTTTCCTGATAAAGAGTGGAATATTATCTGGGGAAGAATATTTGTGATGGCTATTTGTATCTCTCTTAATAAATTAGAGACAAGAAAATAATAGTAACAACATCAGCAACAACCATAATATAATAGTAAATCAGAAAACAATAAAACTTCTCAGGAGATAGAGACCTTAAAAGTGAACTTTCCAGATGGTTTTCAACAATTCCTTAATGCAAAAAAAAGTTTAGGATGCAGGCAGTTATGTATTTCTGCTGAAAACAGTACACAAGGAAGAATAAAAACAAGCAATGCAGACATTCATCTCCAATTTTCAAAAATAAACACATTCATTTTGTTAATAATCTCTTCTTTTCCTCAAAACATAAAGATTAATCATTTTTGCAATTTTCCAAGGATTTTTTTTCACATCCTATTTAATCCATATTCAATTAATTATTTTCTAGGATGTTTTGTGTAAACATGGGAGTTGTGAGTAAAATCTACTACTATTTTAATTAACTCATTTGCAGTTAAAATGTATTCATCAGCATTAAACATAGCACATTGAAAACTAGTGATACTCCACACCATTTTGTATTAACCACAGTTCCTAATGCTTTGGTGTTCTTTTCATGGGGGGTTTTTTGAGTTTGGTTTTTTGGGTTGTTTTTTGTTTGTTTGTTTTTTTTTTTTAACAATACTGGAATTAAGAGGAATTAAAAGCATATACTTAGATCTGTTTCTTTGATTCTTTTTTGTATTGTTTTTTTGTTGTTGTTGTTGTTGGTTTTTTTTAATGTCAGTGTGCTTGTTTCACATGTACTGCCGAGAGTGCAAAGTCTATATTTTAAGTGGTTTGTGTATGTGTGGCTACAGGGTGAATGTAGATGTCACTAAGACATCATTAAGCTCTTTTAAGGAAAGAAAAGACTTTGCTAATTGGTATTTTTTTTTTCTCATCTGTCATTTTTGTTCCACTTTAACCCTCAAAACTAGAAGGTAAAACATAATTTCCAGTAGTTGTTTTGTCTTTTTTTTTTTTTAAAGACTTGTTTCTGACTAGCCCTTAAGCTTCAGAATATTAATTATAAATTTAAACATTTACTCTGTAATTTATGAATTTTTCTTTTTTTTTTTTTTGGTAGGCTGTTCTCTACAATGACAGATCAGTCTTAGAAAATCACCATGCTGCTGCTGCCTGGAATCTTTTCTTATCACAACCAGAATACAACTTCTTATCAAATCTTGATCATGTAGAATTCAAGCGTTTTCGTTTCTTAGTGATTGAAGCAATCCTTGCCACTGATCTCAAGAAGCATTTTGATTTTCTTGCAGAATTTAACGCCAAGGTTTGTTACATTTTGGTGTCTGCACTGAGCTAGTTATGATATCACAGAATCTCCTAGATTGGAAAAGACCTGTAAGATCATGTAGTCCAATCATTAACCTAACACTGACAAGCCCACCACTAAACCATGTCCCTAAGCACTGTATCTACACGGCCCTTAAATATCTCCAGAGATGGGGACTCTACCACTGCCCTGGGTAACACATTCCAATGCCTGATGACCCTTTCAGTAAAAAATTCTTCCTAATATCCAATCTAAACTTCCCTTGGTGCAAGTTGAAGCCATTTCCTCTTGTTCTATCACCTGTTATTTGACAGAACAGGTCGACTCCCACCTCTCTGCAACCTCCTTTCAGACAGTTGTAGAGAACCATAAGGTCTCCCCTGAGCCTCCTTTTCTCCAGGCTAAACAACCCCAGTTCCCTCAGCCGCTCATCATAAAACATGTGCTCCAGACTCCTCACCAGTTTCGTTGCCCTTCTTTGGACATGCTCCAGTGCCTCTATGTCTGTCTTGTGGTGAGGGGCCCAAAACTGAATACAGTACTTAAGATGCAGCCTCACCAGTGCCGAGTACAGGGGTATACTGATGTTAGTGTTGCCACTCACTAATTTTTAGTATTAATAACTTGCATTTAAAATTTTACATTATTTAAATTTAAATTACTAAAAAAAATGCAAATACAGTATTTGCTTTTTACAAACCAATTGTAGTGTGTTTTGTAGATTGCCTAATAAACCTAGTAGATGTGACATGGGCGCCCACAGGAGACCTCGATCATATCTCACATATCCATCTTCTGAAAGATAGTAAATTAGGGTTGGTTTTTTTTTATTATATTAGACAAAAAATTATATAGAAAAATGAATGCAAGTGTCTGTTGTTGAAAGCCTGAAAAAAAAACCATTGACGAATACTTTTAACTTAATTTTTAAAAACTTATGTGCTCAACCTAGGTCAATGATATCAACAGTCATGGTATAGAATGGAGCAATGAAAATGATCGCCTACTGGCCTGTCAAATATGCATCAAACTGGCCGATATTAATGGCCCAGCAAAAGTTAGAGAGCTGCATCTGAAATGGACAGAAGGCATTGTTAATGAATTTTATGAACAGGTGGGTATGGAAAGTGTGTTTTTCTCTTTTTTTAATGACAGGCAGTTGATCAATTCTTTGCGTTAGCAAACGTATAACTAAATTAAACTTTATTTCTTCTATTACATCTTCAGGTAAGGTATTTCCCTCTTCTCTTTCTGAATACTGAAAATTTCTTTTTATAGGTAGCATGCTAACATAATCTTTTACTTCCTATCAATTGTGTTAGAAGCTTGAAAACAAGCTCCCAGCCAATGTTGTCCATTTTCTGGATATTTTCTTTTGGCTTTTTTTCTTCAGATGATGTTTATAAACCAAAGTAACTTCTTCTGCTTTGGGGATTTAAGTTCACTGGAATGTTTCTAGGCCAAAGAGTATGGATAGAATCCACAAGACTGGAAATGTATATTCAGCTAACTCTGCAAAGACAGAAGATATTTCAAAACTTTCATATTTAAATATTAAAAATACACATTAGTAACTAACATAATTAAAATGTAAATAATATTTTTACAGTGGAACTTTGATAAATAATCCTACCAGGATTAATGGGAAAAAAGTCTGAATTTTTTTGCCTATTTTTACATTTATAACTTCTGTAAGTCCCCCCAAATATATTCTACATTTCTACTCTGTTATTTTTCTGCAGTCAGCTTTCTGAGAAGTTAACTATTTATGGGGCAACAACCAAGGATTGAAAAATATTTTTCAAACTAGGAAAAGTAAACAACAAATCACTTGAGAGATGTAAGCAATAGCAGTAATAGTCTGAAGTGCTTATACTTACTGTAAGATCTTAGTATTCTAAGAAGCTCCTTTACAAAAAGCTTTTTTGTAATACAATCAGGTCCATGGATGTGCTGCGATAAATGATTGTAACTCTTGTGTATGAGCAACTCTTCAATTTTTTTCTTCTCGATTTTATAAAATGGGGAAAAAAACCCAAATCAAACCACTTGATTCTGGATTTTATAGTTAATTTCATTCTCTGACTTCTGGAGGAAGCCGTTAACCAGAATGCCTTATTCTAGCTGATTGCTTTCCTATTTTCTCTGTTCATCAACTCAGCAATTGAAGTTAAATCTCTGCCTACTGTGAAGCCATCCTGTAAAGGCAGAGGAATAGGAGCACCAGTAGAACTGGGGCTTCATCCACATGCGAGAGTATCTCACAGCAAAGTTAATGGGAGGATTATGGGCTATGCAAGTTCGAGTCATAATGTGTCTTCATTTTAAATTGGCCTAATTACATTTTAATTAATTTACTCTATACTATTATTGCCTCTAGTAAAAAGATAAAATCTATGTGATGTTTACTTGGTTCCTTAAAAGTAATCTTTAGAATAGAAATTTAAAGGTAATTTTGCGAGAAGTTTTGATACTTTTTTTCATTTCTTTTTCAGGGTGATGAAGAAGCAAGTCTTGGATTACCCATAAGCCCCTTCATGGATCGTTCTTCTCCACAGCTTGCAAAACTGCAAGAATCTTTCATCACTCACATAGTTGGCCCCCTTTGTAATTCCTATAATGCAGCTGGGTTGCTTCCTGGGCAATGGGTTGATGAAGAGGAGGAGGATGCAGAAAGTATCGAAGAGGATGATGGAGCACAGTTAGAGAGTGATGATGAAGAAATGGAAGATGATCTCATTTTAAGTAAGTTTCTGTATTTCAGTTGGTAGATATAGTTGTCATTTAGTAGATTCAGACATAGCAATGATGGTTGAAACGGTGTAGTACAAGTATTGTAGATTTTGCAATTATGCTGCCTCATAAATTTTACTCTTTTAATAAAGTTTTTGTTCATACCAGGAGATTAGCAATTTGAAACAGAAGCTCATTGTTATCCTTTGCTGTGTGACTATTTAAGTATTCTGAATAACCATCCATGTTTTTTGCTCAAATTTGCATCTCTCTTACAATGTGCCATTGGTTTTGTATATGTAAAATACAATTACTTTGAATCTCACACAATCAAATATGCTTATAATTTTACAGAAGCTCAAAGAAAAAAAGGTAGACGAATATTTTGCCAGCTAATACACCATCTCAGTGAAAATCACAAAATATGGAAGAAAGTGATTGAAGAGGAAGAAAAAAATAAAGCTGAAGGAGCTAAACTGCTGACTGAGATCTCATCTTTACCTCAAGCAGATGAAATTCAGGTTATTGAAGAAGCTGATGAAGAAGATGAGCGACAAGTAGGAGAAGACAAGACATGCTAAGACGACTTCAGTAGTGTCCAGTATGGTGATAGTCTATTTTTTTTTTCACTGTGCTGACTGTAGCCTGACACAGTTCACACGAAGTTGAAAGGCCTTAATACTGTGAGAGGATTCTTTCTACTCTAGTGGAATCCCACTCCTATGCACTTTCGCCACACAGAATATGAAACTTTATTCAAAGATTGAGTATTGTATACCCTGATGCAACCTTCTTTATGCCTTATTTGGTATAAAATATCCTGATATTATGCTGCCTTGCTGAATACGGAACTCTTCTTTTCCTTGAGGTACCTGCAATTTTTAAAAACATTCAGTGACTTCAGTTACCAAAGTGGCAAGAACTTTTGCTCACAAGGAAATGTGGGATGAATCCTAATATTGTCTTGAGTTCTTTATCTCATGTTGTTTTTGAACATGAATAAGAAAAAGTCTGTGCCTATATGAAAACTGTGTTACTGTTGCAGTGCAAGCCTGTTGTGGGGTGTCTACTTAGTGCAGTAGGGTGCTTAATGTAGTCATCTCAGCAACTGTTCAAGGACTGTGACAAAAATGCTGAATTCTGATATTTGTGGTTTAAAAAAGAAAAAAATATCCAGGTGCATCTATTTCTGATGCTTTTTATTATTGTGCATAATCTGATGTTTTATTTTTGCAGAAAATATTCAGGTTTGCAGTGGGTGTTCATGATAATTCATTGAGTACAAGGCCGTTATCTTTTGCCTTGCTGTTTATGGTATAACATTAAAAACCTCTTCAGCTACTTAAATTATTAAGGAATTTTATTCTTTTAGTCGTAATGCTATACTTTCTGCCCTTACTCAGGTTCCTGTTTAAAAACAAGTCAACCACATAATAGATTTTTATCTTGCACCAACTTCTGGTATTAAATTTCAAGGAAATAAGATCGTATTTCATTTATTCTTTGTATGTAAAACTTCAGGAGAATTAAAGATTAAAAAAAAAAAAAAAAGACATAACTACTGTTTCAAAATGGCTAGTGTATTTTAACGTGCCCCACATCTTTTCTCCCATCACAGACATAGCTTATATTGCCTTCAAGTTTGGTGTACATCCAGAAATATACATATGGAAAGCAGAATGTGAAAACTTCATGTAAAGCCTGATAGTAAGATAAATATCACTGTACTATAATACATTTTTAGATTGTTGAGGTTTTTAAATAAGAAAATTAAACATTCCACACAAATGTATTTTTAGGAACACTACCATTGTAGGTCTAACTGAAAACAAAAAAAAAGAAGAAAGCATAAATTAGGCTACAGATATGCAAGCAAGCCACAAACAAAGCTAGTTTTAAAAGTGCACCTTTTAGTACTAAACATTTATATAGTGTGCAGTTGAATTTAATGAAAACAAATGCACACATGTGCAAGTTGCTAAATAAATCTTAGCATATTTGTGTTTACATTTACATCAGTTGACTTTGAAAAAAGTTAACATTCCCAAGATAACCTTGTGTACATTGTATTGCGCTGTTTTACACAAACAAATTTTTATTTTGCTATTTGGCCAGTTTAAATAACTAAAAGAAGTTCCTTTTTTATTTTCCACTAATAAGCTTTTTGTTGATCCATTTAGAAGACCACTGAGAAATGCTTTTGCTATTTTATGTATTCAGTGCCAAATCCCCTTTTGCTGCCGTTATTACTATCACTGCATTTTTTTTGTAACATGAGCAGTGTTAAAACCAGATATTTCTGTCATTAATAAAATGTTGCACTATTGAAGCTGGCACTTACTGATCATTCACATGTATTTTATATTTGTTGTTCATATATTTTCCTAGTGGATAATTTGAAGACTGCAGAAATTATGCTTGTTTCAGTATGCTGTATTCTCAGCATTTTGTGTTTATGTACATAAAAAATATCACTTTAATACTGTTTAGTTTGATTTTTGCTTTGACTTAAAAAAGGATGAAAAGAGCTTGTCTAAAGTTACTGTTACATTATTTTATATTACAGTTTTCCATTTAGTTCCTTTAAAAAATATTATTAAAAATGAATATAAAGAAAGAATAAGAAGGTAAAAATAACATTTTATCTTTTACTAAAGCATTGGCAGCATTTATATCTGGTGACAATGTTGTCAGCAACTTTTTTAACTCAGGTTTCCCTAAAACTCGTTAGAAATACTGAAGCCATTTTTTAATTCAGAAACAAGTAACAAACCTCAGTGTTTATTAAACTACAATGATAATATGTATCAGATATTTTCAAGTTACAATAGCTTGCTTCAAATATATGTTTAATTATGAATGTATTCAAAATCTACCTTAAAACGTCTGCTATTTATGTATACATAATATATGACATTGTTACTCTAAGAGGAAGGGTAAAAGTATGTACAAGTGTCATCAAAGGTTGGTTTAGGGCATGTTTGCAGATTTGGATGTAACTGTAAGTGAAGGTGTCTTAATCATTCAAAAACAGTGATGGAGGGTCATTTGAATGTTGATTGAGCTGTTGTCAACAATAATATATCCTCCATATAAGGCATATCACTCTTACTCTGGTAACAGCCCACTGAGAAATTACAACCAAGTTAAATGTGTGATCACACTTCGGTTCACAGCTACCAAGGGATGCTAAGGCGCATGGAAAAGCACACAAAAGAACACACTTAAAATACTTTCTAAAGCAACACTCACCACTTTTTTTTTTTTTGTGAAGTAGGCCAAATTAGGCTACGCTGAAGTTTATGCTGCTACAGCAGATGTACCTTTTATGGATAAGATTCTCAGGTTGAAGTAAAGTCTTCAGCCCCTTTCCTACCAAGAGTGTCCCATCTTCTCATTGCCTTATTTTACAATGTATATTGGATTACTTGCTCCTACGCATACGGCGCGTACAGAATGAGACTACAAAGTTTCCTGTAAGGGCCAATTCCCTCCATGTCTCTGGAGACCTCTGGATGTTATGGTGGTGCTAAACTAGTCAAAAGGAACTACTTGGATCCTCTTCCTGTGAGTTCTTCCTCCGTGACAAAGTTAGACGGCAAGTCTAAGATTCAAAATGAAAGGACTGGTGTAACATTACTTAAGGTAAGTCCAAATTAACAAAGTCTGAACAAGACCTGATTTGTTCCATGCATAGAACCATTTCTTCTCTGTAGTTCTTGCATTCAGTTTTAACCACAACCAGTGGCAGGTGAATCGACAAAAGGAGTCAGCAGAATTCAAGAGCTCACTTTCAGCTCTGGTGCTTTCTACTGGGCAGGCATAGTTGAGCCTGGGCTTTTGCTTCCTCTTAAAAGTATACACAGAATTCAAGGTAATCTGGTGTGTGGCACTAACATTTGCAGGGCAGTACTTTCCCTTTTGTCCAAAAAACGTTGAAGAAGATGTGAGAGGTGCAGAATTGGAAGCGTCTTATACGCTGGTGACCCTGTGAGACATACTTTTGGAGTAAAAGGATGGAATTAGCTTAGGTGATGAGAATTAGAAAGGAGAAGTAGGAATAGCGTACACACACACATAAAAGGTATGTTCTTATTCAGAAGAGAGACACTGTTTATTGTTTCAAGCCAGTTCATTGTCATCAAAAGAATGCAAAAACAGGGTATCTTTGGTAAGTCAGAATATTTGGATTGTCAGAAATGAAATTAAAATAGAAATTAAAATTAAATTGTATTGCTAATAGCAATACAATTATCATAACTTAAGTTGATGCAAGTTTAAGAAAATTGATTTTTCTGTGGCCAATAAAGATTAGATGAGAGAAAATAAATATTAGAAGTTGATTAAATGAGGTACAAAAAGTATGATTGAGGTAATGTTTTCTTTTGCTTTTTTTTCCTCCAGCTTTCTTCAAAATTGTGTTTCTGGACAACTTGCCTCTTCATGTCTGTGTTAAGGCAAATACAGTAGTGAATTGCTTTCATTTTTGCAATGAAGAATTTTCCTTTCAATATCTTCTGAAGTAAGCCTTTAACTTGGTATAAGGATCATACTGCAGATTCTCAGAGATGAAGCTGGCAAAAGAACACTACTGTTAACTGGTCCCTATCTGATCTTAACTTAATAGGGCTGTAAGCAATTAGTGCTTTTGTCCTCTGCTAAATGAGAAAGAATAATGTCTTATATTTCAGAGGAAACAGGAAAGAAAGCTTATGGACTAAGCTGCTATAGGTTAAACATCCCAGCGCACTTGAGTTTCTAGTTGGGAGTGACCCTCCTGGTGTAGTGTACATCCCCCACATCCTTATGAATCCAGCTAATAGATACATAACTCTTAACTGAGCAATCTGTCTCAGGGGTTTTGTTGTCCATTTGTTATTCTCATTTGTCTAAGACATTTCTGGCTTAGACTTGAAATAATATTTCTGGTTAGTCTCATTTCTGTCGTCTGCAATACTTTTAAAAAAAATAAAAATAGAGTAACTATTAATTGCTTGCTTTGTTAATAATAGCATTAAGATATAGAAAGTGGTCGCAGTAAAGAAGAAACTGTTTTCCTTTGGTACTGAGATTGAAACATCTGTCCAGAAAGTGGCTGACTATAAATGCTATTGGTGTGATACAGTCAGGCTACTGAATAATGGATGCTTAATATATTTAAGTGATTGACACTTATTTAGTTCTGTGTAACACTACAGTCACCCTTTAAAAAGGGCACAACACAATCAGAAATATTTGACTGGAAGGTTTCTTTTGGAATCTGTACACCATGAGTCATCTTCTCATTTCTGTACTTCAAGAGATCACAGGTGATAGCAACTGGTGTCTATGATAGGTTCTGCTACGCAGGCTGTATTACCTGGCAGGATGTTACAATCTGTAAAATCTAAGTCAAGAGAGTAAAAAAACTTATACAGAAAATAAATCTTCTGTCTTTTTGGTTTATCTGTGAGGTTTCAGAAAAATAGAAATGTATAATATCAAACCAATAGAGCCTTTAAATAACAGTGAGAGACCATGATGTTTTAAATGATTCCTATCATTCACCTTGTGATTTGTCCATGTTCTAAATATCTTGCCAAAAAACAGGTGATGAGTCACTTCTGACTCATCTCTCCAGATCAGCAGAACCCTTTGCACCTTGAATGAGATCAAAGTCTTTTCATTTTACTTGCATATAAAACAAAGACTAATGCTTATCTTAAAATGCAAGTATTATACCAAAATCCACTGGATAAGTGTGACGTTACTTACTGCACGTGGGGAGCAGACTGCAGACTTTGTCACCTGTGCCAGTTAGATATGAAAACTTGCTCCTATATGTGGTCATTCAAATGGACTTAGTATACCCCTCTTTCTTTTATTATGACATTCATCCTATTAGAATTTATTAATTTCTGTGGTTTGCCAATTTATCTGACTCATATATTAACTAAGCTTTCTCTCAGTCAGAGAAGTGAATGAAGAAGCCTTCCTATTTATCTTTGAGAATGTGCTTGTAATTATTTTCTTCTGTTCATCATAAATATGGCATTACCAAAATACTGTTTCTAATTTCAGGTGTCACACCCCAGGAAAAGTATCTGTCCATTAGATAGATTGCAGAATTCCAGTACAGACCAGTGAGACTGACCAGAAATGTGGAAGACATGGCTTAAAGATAAGGAGAAAGATTAATTCAAGAAA